TGCTGGATTTATTAATATATAAAATTTCACGAATTTCGTGAATTTCAATAATTTCAAAATTAATAATGAAATCGGTGAAAGAATTTTTGTAATCTATAAATGAATAGAAATAAATTACACTTTTCTAGACAATATTAATACTGATATTAATACTCGACGTGCTATTAAAAATTGCCTGAAATTCATGGATGAAACATATTCAAAAAATCAGTACAAGAATATGAATTTTTATTTTAATTTCTTGTTTTTGATTGGAGCATTTCCAAGTTTTATACTCTAGAGCCTCCAGTGAAATCTAGAAAATTATAAAATCTAGATCATCTAGATCAACCATGGATTTATTAATATATAAAATTTCACGAATTTCGTGAATTTCAATAATTTCAAAATTAATAATGAAATCGGTGAAAGAATTTTTGTAATCGATAAATGAAACAAATAAATTACACATTTTTCTAGACAATATTAATACTGATATTAATACTCGACGTGCTATTAAAAATTGCCTGAAATTCATGGATGAAACATATTCAAAAAATCAGTACAAGAATATGAATTTTTATTTTAATTTCTTGTTTTTGATTGGAGCATTTCCAGGTTTTATACTCTAGAGCCTCCAGTGAAGTATAGTAGATTCTAGTAAAATCTAAAGCACTGCTGGATTTATTAATATATAAAATTTCACGAATTTCGTGAATTTCAATAATTTCAAAAATTAATAATGAAATCGATGGAAGAATTTTTGTAATCGATAAATGAAAACAAATAAATTACACATTTTTCTAGGCAATATTAATACTGATATTAATACTGGACGCACTATTAAAAATTGCCTGAAATTCATGGTTGAAACGTATTCGAGAAATCAGTATAAAATTTATTATAAAGCATACGTACTTCTCGTTCCATCGACGAGTTACGATTTCTAAGATGAGAAAAGAAGGATGACAAGGAAAAAGGATAGTCGAGAGATGGAGTGAAAAGCAGAGGAAAGATCTAGACGGATAAACCATGCAAAATCGCGTGACAAGAAGGGAGAATTTCAGCAAGCGTGTCAACGGGTTACAATATTACCGTCGTTATATAAACTCAGATACGCCCAGCATTTGCATTGATGACGTGAATATAATATATCACCAGAAGCTCGAAAGCTGAGCTTTTCTCCGCAGCCACAATGGCCACTGACCACCTGTTGCCTTTCCATTTATATTTTAGACGCGGTGAGAACGTCATCGCCTTACGTATCCTCGTAAACATCTCGAAAAGGAACGTCTTCTCGCATTGAAAAATGTCTCTGATAATTCCCGTCTTTCCCAATTATTTGCACAATGTCCACGACAGCCGAGACACGACATAATGTATCCTGTGTGCATCAAGGAAATTATATTCTTCGCGACATCTTCTCTGCGAATTTAATGCGGAATGGTAAAATGGCACTTGCATCGAGTAGCATGAGTAACAAACGATGATCATTGTGAAACGAGATACTTTAATTGCACGGTTTTATAGAAGATTCCTCTGTCATGATCTTTAGAGCCAGTAGCTTTCATAGATGGCACCACTAGCGAATGAAATAAATTTGTTAAAAAGATAGGAAATGATATAATATTGTGTCATTTAATATTCTGTGGATTGTTTATATATTAACGAGGATATTTGTATTAAACATTGATAAATGCATCGATGAAATTAATGTTTTATTAAATTTTGCAATTTCTATACATGTAAATAATATTTCCCCTTCTTAACAAGTTGCAATGAATAAAACGGTGAAAATGAAACTGATAGACGCCATTTTCAGAAGATTTGTTAATCCTCAATCGTCACTAAGAATGACGTAATTAATTTCAAAAGATCGATATTCAAAATATGTTAAATCGAAATAACTTTCGTAATTATCTCTGCTCACTGTTATTTCAGAATTTGATAGATAAGCCTTATTCATTGACACTTTGACTACCACACATTTTGTATAAATATAGTACTCCCAGGGGAGCCGCGATAAAATTGCCATTATTCGTAGAATATAATGATAAATTATCAAACAATATTGCAAAAAATGAAAAAAGAAAATGTGGTGCAAATTATTAATGTTTCCTGCTTAAAAAACTTCTCCATTTATTTAAGTTGTTAAAATTTTCCAGAAATGGTTAAAGTGAAACAAACATAAATTTAAAAAATTTGTATCTTGGACACTGATGACCACCATGGCCCCACTAAGGAGACAAGCACTGGTCACTGATGACCACCATAACAGCCACCATAGCAACGTGTTAAAGAAACACTCTTTACCAATATTTTACCACCCCCAGAATTATCTTTCCACCAAGGATTCACGATTCAGGAGCTTAAAAAGCCTCGATATGCGTTGAAACGATGATCCAAAAATGATTTCTTCCATCTGATTCGATCGCAGCGCCACCACCAGAGGCGACTGAATGTCGGCCATTTTTCAAAGCGGGAGGAATTAAAGGGAAATTGGCGCGGTTTAGTGGAAGCAAGTCAGCTGGTGGAACGGTTAATTTTCCAATAAGTAATGGAAGAGGGAAAGGAGGTTGTAATCTTCCTTGATAATCACGTCCGTTGTCGAAGCGGCGTTATTATCAAATTTTCTACGTGTTATAAATTCATAGGGGATGAGAAACGCGCACGCGGTCACGAAGAAAATGCGAGGTTCTAGAAAATTATGCGGCTTTGCGTCGCCGACGGTAATCCCCTAGCTACAGCGCCGTCCCGTCTCATGGAAATTACGAACCGGGCACGTCTGACAGCAGTATCTGATCCTGCATTTCAGACTCGCTTGTCATAGCATAGCAATTTACATCGTGAGCAACTTAATCCTAACACGATAAATCGCGTAACAGCCACTCCGCAGCGGTCTTCCGGCATTTCTGTCGTTCGCGTCCTGTTTGCTCATTGGATCCGACGATTTTTCGTTTTAGTTAACACTTTCCTCACGGGAAGGCTCGAGATTAGGTTTCGAAATCGATGTTTAGTCGGTGATTACTTTAGCGGAAGACAAATAAATTTTATTGCGATGCTGGAATCAATTTTTTGGGGCGAACAATATTAATTATAATTTTCCAATCTTTCTTCGTTTAATTTTTAATTAAAGCAGTTTTAATTCTAATAAACAGATTATTCTGGCAATAATTTTTTGATACACAATGTTATGATTTTATATTTAACGTTATTTTATAATAATTTTACGTTTTTCTATTAGGAAAAACAATTAATAATTACTATTGCGATGGTGGAATCAATTTTTTGGGTCGAAAAATATTAATTATAATTTTCCAATCTTTTCTTATTTTATTTTTGGGACGAACAATATTAATTATAATTTGCCAATCCTTTTCCTTTTATTTTTTAATTAAAGCAGCTTTAATTCTAATAAACAGATTATTCTGCTAATAATTTTTTGATACAGAATGTTATGATTTTATATTCAACGTTATTTTATGATAATTTTATATTTTTCTTATGTGGAAAATAATTAATAATTACTCCTTCAGTGTAATTGGTGTTAGAATGCTACACTGTGATGAAATTGAGTGTTTCAGTGCATATAAAATTCCTTTTCTGTGGCAAATAAATTTTATTGCGACGGTGGAATCAATTTTTTGGGACGAACAATATTAATTATAATTTTCCAATCTTTTTTCCTTTTATTTTTTAATTAAAGCAGCTTTAATTCTAATAAACAGATTATTCTGCCAATAATTTTTTGATACAGAATGTTATAATTTTATATTGAACATTACTTTATGATAATTTTATATTTTTCTAATGGGGAAAATTATTAATAATTACTCTTTCACTGTAATTGGTGTTAGAATTCTATAATGCAATGTAATGAAATTGAATGTTTCAGTGCATATAAAATTCTTTTTCTGTGAAATAAAAATTGTATATTTATAGGAAATTGTAATAAATAGGAAGATTACAAATTTATAAACATGAAAAATTTATTTGTGTTGTTCATATCTATATATCGAAGTAGCTTAAAAATGAAATTGTTTTTAAAATAAGGTGATGTTTGCAGGGTTATATATAATGGTAAATGTGTAATCAATTTTAGTTTAATTTCGACAAAAGTAATTTATTTTTAAATTATGCAAGGAATTTGATTCTATCTAGCTAATACGCCAAAGCACCGGTAAGATCTAAACACGCAAACTAGTTTGACCTAGTTGGGTATCCAAAAATAGAGTAATAGATATCAAAAATAGGATAATTATGAAAGTTTTATCAGCCAGGACAAACTTTCACGTACAGAGGTTTTCAAAGATTTTCCACGTATTAACAAACTCGAAGAAAATTATCCCAGAAATTAGCAATATTGATATAAAATTCTGGTTAGTATTATATTATACTAAAAACACAGAACGAAGAAAAATATCATTATTGACATACAACATCGTATAAATAAAAATAAATAATTATTTCCCAAAGATACTTCGATATTTATTAATGAAAAATTGATTATATTTCCAAAAATTGAATATTCAAGAAAATGCACTTACTTTCTAAGTATTATGCTTAATATTTAACACAGTCTTATACATAAAAATTGTAGTATTTACAAGAAAAAATATTATTATTGACATAGAACATCCTATAAATAAAAATGAATAATTATTTCTCAAAGATCCTTCGATATTTATTAATGTAAAATTAATTATATTTCTACAAAATGAATATTCAAGAAAATGCACTTACCTTCCAAGTATTATACTTAAAATTTAACACAGTTTTATACATAAAAATTATAGTATTTATTTTCTTTCTAAAAATACTATGTTGAAAACTGCTGTTTAAGTATTTAATACAATTTTGTACATAGAAAGCACAGTATTAATTTTCTCTATGGAAATACCATGAAATTTACTGTTTAGGTATTGCACTTAATATTTAATTCAATTTTGCACGGAAAGAGATATAGTATTCGTGAAATGACGATTATGGTAAATAATAAATTGTAAATCTTTTCATTTCAGGGAGCGTCATCCAGCTTGGTAGTAAAGTTCGCAGATAATGAGAAAGAGAGACAAGTAAGACGCATGCAGCAAATGGCCGGCAGCATGAGCGTCCTTACCCCTTTCGTCTTCAATCAGTTCGGCGCTTACAACGCCTATGCTCAGGTGGGTCACATTACGGATAATGGTTCTCGCGTTACCACATTACCGTCTGGTTGTTCTCGTTATCGCGAATCACAGCCTGTAATTGTTTCTGTCTTGTTAGAAGCGACCAACGATACTCGATATCGTCCTATTAATCGAATTCTTCTCTCGCATCCTCACCACCAAGTACGTCGAAATTCGTATTACGAACTATTCGTTTGATATTCACTCCCCAACTCTTTCTTAAACTTCTCTTAAAAATTTAACTTTTTACCCATTCGTTACTTTCAAAATTACCATTTTAGTTACCAAAAGTTACTAGTTCACTTTAAATGTGGATAGTATAATATAGTATTAAGCGAAGCTTGGGTATTTTAATCTTTGGGTATTTTATTCTTAATCTTTGACGTCAACAAGAAATTGCAAGTAAAGAAATGAGTACAAATTTATTGTAAAGTTATTTTGTTCCAAAGTGTCATTCGAAATTGGAGAAAAATTTTAAACAGTCGTTCAGAATTAATAAAATACATTTATTATATACTTCTTCTGTCAATCTACGTTTATGTATTCCGTATAACCTCAACTGATAATGATCAGAGGAATTATGCAATTGGCAGATATAGTATCATATTAAGCGAAGCTTGGTTATTGAATTTTTGACGTCAAAAAGAAATTGCAAGTAAAGAAATGAAATTCTAAATAAAAATTTGTTTTGAAATTATTTTGTTCGAAAGTGTCATTCGAAATTGGGAAGAAAATTTTAAACAGTCATTTGGGATTAATTAAATACCTTCTTTATATACTTCTTCTGTCAATGTACAAATATACCCTCAAGTGACAATGACTAGATGAGTTATGCAATTGACAGATATAGTATAATATTAAGCGAAGCTTGGTTATTGAATTTTTGACGTCAAAAAGAAATTGCAACTAAAGAAATGAAATTTTAAATAAAGATTTCTTCTGAAATTATTTTCTTCGCAAATGTCATTCGAAATTGGACAAAAATTTTAAACAGTCATTCGAGATTAATGAAATACATTTTTTACATACTTCTTCTGTCAATCTACGTATGTATTTGTATCCTCAAGTGATAACGAGAAGAATTGTATGCTAATGGGTTAGATTTCTTTTGTTCGTCGCTGTATATTTTCTTGTAATTTTTAAAACTACGACAATTCAATGTGAATACACCTGACTGACCGTATCTTCGATATAAACATTCTACTTACAGCAGCATGCAGCTCTCATGGCTGCTGCAACTGCACAAGGGACGTACATCAATCCAATGGCGGCGTTGGCACACGTTGGCGCTGCGCAACTGCCGCACGCGATAAATGGCATGCCAAACACCGTCGTTCCACCGACTTCCGGTATGTCTTTTCTTCCTTCGTCGCATCCTTAATGCCACTATCTCATATACATTTATATCCGAAAGAGAGCAAAATAAAATGCTATTCTGTCATACGATTCGCGAAAGTCGCGAGTACCTGAGTACTGTCAACGATCATCGAATTGGGATTTGACACTTTCCTGAATAAATTTGCGTCGCGAGTGTCGTAGCTGTTCTCGATTGCTTAAATACATGGTCAGTATATATATATCACATTGTGACGGAATTCCCGTGAGTGACAGGCGATTGAGGACGATCATGTTTATGCAAATTACTCGCCTATTCATCGCTAGCCGCCACTTTACTCGAATGAAAAACGAAGAGTGCGGATAATTGACGGGATAATTGACCGAATTGTAATCGGAGTAATAGGCTCAAAAGAAGCTTTATTTTTAAATATTATTCTGCCCTTTTTATTTTACAAAATTTATAAAAGATGTTACAAGAATATTTTCTAATTCGATCATTATAAATTATTATATAATTTATATAATTTAATCGCTTAAAATCGATTATACAAATTTTTGGAAAAAGATATTAGAAAGCTTAATTATTCCTAAACACACTTCGTTATTTGAGATTACTTCTTTCTTAAAAAAATGTAGAAAATATTATATATTATTATATTATAATTTAATTGCTTAGAATCTGTTATA